TATGGGTAGCATTCTTTTTTTGTTTTTTGTTTTTTTTTTTGAGTTGGAGTCTCACTCGGTCGCCCAGACTGGAGTGCAGTGGCTGCTTCCGGCCACCGCAGCCTCGCCTCCCGGGCTCCGGCAATCCTTCCGCCTCAGCCTTCCAAGTAGCCAGAAATACAGGTATGCACTACCACACCCAGCTGATTTTTTGATTTATTGTAGAGATGAGGTCTCGCTGCCCAGGCGGGTCTCGAACCCGCGGGTTTAGGCAATCCACTCACCTCAGCCTCCCAAAGGCGCGGGATTACAGGCTGAGCCACTGACCCCGGCGTGGGTAGCATTCTTATCTCTGGATAAATCTCTAGTTCAGAACCCAGAGGACTGGCCCTGGGAACACACAACCAATCTCTCTGAACTTATAAAGATAGGTGATACCATGTACATTAAGAGGCATATGTCTAACACAGGAAATTTTATTAGTTTTCACTCAAAAGCTAATCTTAAATATCTTGAATCTCAAGACATAGGAACATCACATACCACAATTTCAAAACTGTTAAGCTATATTGGAGCTTAACTTCATGAAAGCCCTTTATTTATTTCTCTCTTTTATTTTTATTATTATTATTTTTTTTTTTTTGAGTTGGAGTCTCACTCTGTCAGCCAGGCTGGAGTGCAGTGGCACATTCATGGCCACTGCAGCCTCAACTGGGCTCAGGCAATCCTGCGCCTCAGCCTTCCAAGTACCTGAAACTACAGGCACACACTACCATGCCTGGCTAATTTTTTTACATTTATTTATTATAGAAACGAGGTCTTGCCAAGTTATCCAGTCTGGTCTCAAACCCCTGGACTCAGGCAATCCCTTCGCTTCGGCCTCCCAAAGTGCTGGTATTACAGGCTTGAGCCATCACGCCTGGCCCTGGTGTGTTTTAGAACACTCTCTAGCTTATAGATACCTGCACTGCAACCAGGCCTTCTCCACAACCTCAGTGATGACTGGAAAACACTAATGTGCAAACAGGGCTGACAAAAACATATCTTAACCTCTTCTTGTGTTTCTCGGGCATGAAAAGAAACAGGTATGTCTTTTCAGATTCCTTAGAAAATTGAATTTGTTTGGGTAAGGAGATACACCCCTGAGCACCCAGCATGCTGGTACAAGAGATGTATCTTAGATCAAGTCTCTAGGCAGATTCCTGGACTGGGGCACACTTGTGACCATGTACCCTCACAGACTTGTATCTAAGACATAAGAATTATTCTTGAGCTGCAACTAAGTCCTTCTTAGAATTAAGACATACCCGGTATGAGTGGCAGAGTGAACCACATGTAACCTTCTCATCTTGAAATATAACTAGACATTTCTAATCTTTATGCCTACTAACAGCTGGGACTTCACAGAGCACATAGATGTAGAATAGAGAAGCCAAGTAATGTTGAGATGGGTTAATATTTTAAAAGGAAAAGTAGCTTGCTTACTTGTTTCACTTCATAAGGGAGTGAACACAGACAGTTAAGTGAGAGAGGAGTATCCCACGGAAAGAGATGAATGAGGCTTTGCTTCTCAACCCTTGACTATCAAAGCGAGGAAGAACATTAGACAATAGTTCATAAGCAGTAAAGAATTAGAATATGATGAGGTAGCTATACCCAGTAGTTAGAAGACCATGGTGAGGAACATTCCAGTGCCTGAGGTATATTCCTGTGATACTGACATTGTGATGGTGAAGAAAATCTTTAGTAAATGACATGAGTCATGACTTTTCTCTACTCATATGACATATGTTATGAAACAAAAGAGACGTTCTGACACGCATTGAGACTCTGGGATAAATATGTACTGAAAGTTCAAGGAAATAATAGCATTGCAGGTGGAAAGATCTCCTTTAGCATAAAAGAAAAACCAGAGAGGGCTATTGGCATCGCAAAATAATTATTTACTTTGCCGTAGCAGGTCTTTTTTGCTTGTAAATGGTGATTTGCTTGTCATATAACTGTATCAGGAGCCCATCATATGCATAAAGCAAGATGCTATCTAGATTTGGGGGAGGAATATATGAAAATACGTCACAAATAAATACAAGAAAATATATCACAAATAAATACAAGGTTACACCGTTATATTGATGTTAAATATAACCATAATATCTGAGATGCGGTCCAGAGACATCCTGTTTCTTGCTAATAGCATCTTAAGACTGGATGAGGTTAGTCTGTGGATTCCATACACAAAGGCAGACAGGAAATTTAGGATTATTTTCAAACTCAACTCTTCACTCAAACCCCTGTCAAAAAACCTTTGTTCAGTCTCAGAACTCTGCATGCATTCTCCCCACCCCTACCATCTATGAACAGACACCATGCACTGTCCCTTTTTTCCAACGTGCATGAAAATCCAGGAACACAGATTCATGGATGTCAAGCCTCTACCTCTGCCTAGAATGAAAGCCACACAGGAAGATTCTCCCTCATGCCCCAAAGTTTTCCATGCCCATCCCCATTCCCAGTGACAACAACACATGGAGAAGCAGCAGAAGTCACTGTGTCTTCATGCACAATCAGCAACGACACTGACAATCACCCCCAACACCTCTGCTGCTCCTGATCCAGCCATGCAAATCAGCCCACACAAGGAACCTTTGGATAATCCAATGAGTCCTACCTTTCTTATTTTACTCCCACTTCCTGTCAACTCCTATCTTTGGATGGATGCCATGACTAACTGATGAAGGCAGAATTTCAGACTTAGTTCAACCTGGATTTAAATCCTGACTCCACTATTTTTCAGTTCTGTTTTTAAACATCAGTGTTCTCATGCCCAAAGTGGGATGATTACAGTGTCTTCATGGGAACATGGTAGATTAAATAAATTAACTAACTCAAAGTCCCTAGCAAAGCACCTGACAAGAGTAGGTGCTCTGCATTTACCCCAACGAACAGAAGAAAAAAGGGCCTCAAGATATTCTGAACAGCCAGTGCAAGTCACAGATTGAGGGACTTTCTACAAAGGTGCTCCCCAAATGGATGAATCCAGTCTTATTATGTTCTGATGCCCTCTCAATGATGTCAGTGGGAGATGACAACTTTGCTAACTTTCAAGCAGAAAATGTATGGTATACTTTCAATGCCACAGCCACCTGATACTCACTGTATCATTTTTTTTTTATTATGAAGTTTGTATTTCTGCATTTGGACTCAGACTTTTCAGAGCTGACTTGTTTCAGAAAGTTTTGGCCAAGCCATAAAAGCTCTCCTTAGAGAACTAAGTAAACTAAAGTATACCATATTCTTGATGCACTCAATGGTTTTGACCTCCCTATCTAAAACTGCACACACATACCCACCACCACCATCACTGCCACCACTGTGACTAACACCAAGTACTTCTTTTTCCCTTCTCTGATTCAGTTTTCTCCTAAGGACCTATTACTCTTTAACTTGCTATATATTTTACTTTATTTTGATCTCCCTTATTAAAGGCAAGGATTTTTGTCTGTATCCCTGGCACCTAGAATCACTCAGGATACATGGATAAAGTGACTGCAGGTCCCAATTTACAAGGAAAAGTCTAAATGTATGCCTGTCATTGCTATTTAACATAGCTTCCCTTTTCATTCACCTGACCAACTTTAGACAATCAAATGCACATGGCTGATTAATATTAAATATTTGTGGAAATTAATAAATTTGACCAACTTGATATTTGGATGCAACCTGTCAATTTCTGAAACCAACAGTTTGAACTTGATGTAACTTAAATACACACAATATTTTAAAAGCATGAGAGGAGATTAATTCCTTATAATGGTCCTGCTTACAAAATTCTCACAAGGCTGGCAAGCATGTTTTGTTCTGATATACTCTAACTATACACAGCTGTTAGCATTGAAGTCCTTAAACTTTCATGCTGTTATTAGGGGCAGTGTCAAGATGAGAAATCTATAAAACTGTGATCCTGAGAGAATCTGTGAGGCTATGCTTAATTTACCTCCCTAACCAAATCATGAGAGAAATGAACGAAAATTGTAAAAGCATTCCCTTGCACCTGCCCGTAAGACTGTAGTATCAGGATAACGTCTCTTATTAGAAACTGGAAGCTTCTCACTTCAAAACTGACTCAACAACAACATGCCCAGTCAGTGTTTAGAAACAGCATCTGGCCTGTGGGAAAGCAACTCAAGATGGCAAGCTGGACTTGTGTCTTAGTCTGGACGGGATTCTTAAGGCTGAGTAGGTAAATTTGTGGTTTTGTTTTCCCAAGTGGTCCATTCCCAAAACAGAAGGAAAAGGCCTCTAAGCAAAAAAGTGGAAAGAAGCCATCCAGCTCAGTCTGATGATCAAGGCAAGACAGATGGGACTTCAACCGACTCTGCAGTATGTCCATCTCTCTGCCAGAAATTACCATAGACATTAAAATGGGGAGGGTGAAAACCTCTCCCCAAATACAGGGGATATGACTCAGTCATGGAGTCTCTGTAATAACCATCCTGAACATCAAATCTGTTAGACCATGCTTCATTTGAAGTCAATGGGAGGATTTCCATTCTTTGGACCTTCTAGCATGTGTATTTAGGGCATTCTTGGTTCCTTTCAGGGAGCTTCCTACGGTGTGTGGGCACCCAAAATATACTCAAAACTGAAGGTCACACACAGAAGCAGCCAAACCATCGTCCATGCAGAGCCTCCAGCCTCCACCACACACACAGGCCTGGACAGAATCCCTGGCAGCCATATGAATTCCGGGGGCTCTCCCGGCTGAGCATCTAATTATAGCAGATTATGGCCCACCACCCCTCACCATGCTGCCTCCCCATGAGACATCCCAAGCACATCAATGGCTTTAGCAGGAAACTTCCATGGAAGTTAAATAATGCTCCATGGTGGGAGATAGGGAAAGAGAGGTTGGAAGCAACCTCCAGCCCATGGAAGTTCCTCTCCAAAGCCTGCAAGCTGTCAGTCTGTGTGTGGACTGCCCTGCCCAGCCCGCTGGCCCCAGAAATGAAATCCAGACTCACTGTGGAAGCTGCCGGTGCTGCTAGCCTCTGCCGCTGCCACGACACGCTGAATGGGCCCTTCTGGAATGGCCCTTCCTGACATTGAATGAGGGCAGAGAGCAGGGAAGAGGGAGAGAGAAGAAAAGGGATGAAGGGAGAGGAAGGAAGCATGGAAAGATGAAAGAAGGGAGGAGAAGGGAAGTGTGGGTATCTTTAACTGAATGGCAAGTCTCACCTGGACACAACTTCCAAACACCTGCCTACACCACGGGGGAGGAAAGCAGAAGACCACAGCAACCCACTTCCAAGGCCCCCACTCTGGAGTCCACCCCAAAACACACTATCAGCTCAGCAAGCACACCACAATGCCACTCCTAGAACATGACACCCAGTGGTCTTCCTTTCTGGGCCACTATGACTCAGCAGGCTTCCCTCCATGATCTCAGCTCTATTCCCAACAGATGAGTCTCCCACCCAACCTACCAGTCAGAAAGGAAGTGGGTTTTATCTAGAATTTTTATTCCCTTTCCGAGGTCAAAGAAATAGCAATGTCTCCAAAGCTTCTGAGAATACATTTGTTCATACTGAGTCCAGCAGAAAATTCCTGAATTCACCTCTATTTTTAGGGCTTCCCCAATCTCTCTTCCTGGCCTTCCCAATTTGGAAATAAGGTTAGCTCACTGGATGTCACCTGTGTGAAGCTTCAGCCATTCTTCTCCTCGCTGTCCACAGAGTCAGTGTTTGCACCCTCCATCACCACTCAGGAAAAACCTATTTCCTTTGAAAGTCCTCTTGAGAAGTTAAAAAAGGGAATATGTGAGAAGGGACTCACGGTAACTTAGCAGTGGCATTTTTCAAGCACCTCTACATTAGAGCTATGTGCAAGAGACACAACCCTTAATCTCAGTCAAACCAGAGGCAGGGGAACAGCGCTGGGATGACCCAAAGAAGACACAAGTTCATGAAGCAACATATCCCTGTGCACAAACCCATAGGGTGAGGCCAGGGAGACCATCCAATGAAGACAATGAAATGGGTTCTGATGACAGTGGGGGATGGACAGAGAAAAAGTATGAAGAGAGAGATGAAAGAAAGGACACATGGTCAATTGGGAAGAGAAGTTGTAATGGTTTGAATCGTGTTCCTCCAAAATTCATTATGTGAGATTCATAATTCCTAGTGCCTAAGAATGTGACTGTATTTCTAGAGAGATTCTTAAAATAGGTAATTCAGTTAAATGGGGTCTGTAGAGTGAGCCCTAATTCAACATGACTGGAGTCTCCATAAGAAGAGATTAGGACACAGACCACAGAGACACATAGGTGACCACAGCAGGGACACGGTGAGCAGGTGACCATCTGCAAGCCATGGAGAGAGGCCTCAGAAGGAACCAATTCGGCCAGCACCCTGATCTTGGACTTTCAGCTTTGAAAACTATGAGAAAATCAGTTTCTGTTGCTGAAGCACCCAATCTATGGTACTTTGTTATGACAGCCCTGCAAACTAATATAGAAGGCCTCATGCAAAGGCAGAAATTAGCAAGTGGCACTGTGAAGTGAGGGACACACTGGTTGGAGAGGAATCAAGGGGGCCTCTTATGAAAGCAGACAGAAAGGAGATTGACAAAGTTCTTGAGGGTCTAGTAGGCAAAGGTGAGAAATTTGTATTTGGAGAAATGAGAATTCACCTCAAGGCTTTAAACAAGCTGGGAGAATGATGCAACCTAAGGAGCCCAGGCAGGGCATCTCTTAATCTAAAGATCTGTGCACAGATCCAGGTATTAGGCTGACCAGGTGTGGACTAGGGTCGCTCCTGCCAACATGCAAAAAAAAAAAGGGACTTTGAGGTGCTGTAAAGAAAGGCCAAGCAGGTGGATGATGAAAAGATAGGTTCAGAAATGATTCCTCTTTGGGGATGCTCTCAAGACAGTTTTTGTGCATGCTAAGGTCTGCTGAGGCGCACTCTTTGGAGAAGCAGAAGGCAGCCATGTCATTTTTATTTCCAACATGCCATGTTTCAATCTCCAGTGGACTCTCCAGGGGAGGCTTAGAGATTAAGCAATCAAAGAGAGAAGAGAAAGATGAAAATGTTAATTCAAACAGCTTCTGTGTAAAAATGAAAAGGGGTTATAATCATGTGACTCATGTTATAATCAAGTGGGTATCTAAAACAGCAGAACTGGAACTGAAAATAAGAGGAAGGAGAGAAATCAGTGGGAGATGTAAAGAATGGCCAGAAATGGGAATACGTTGTGGAGCCAGGCACTACTGAGGCTTTCAATAAGAATTTTTTTTTTTCTTGAGTTGGAGTCTCACTCTGTTGCCCAGACTGGAGTGCAGTGGCCGC